GTAGACCACTGTATTTTATTAGATAGATTACACTATACACTCGGCCTCTCTGGATCTGTTTTTAACTGGTTCAAATCATTTTTAACAAACAGGGATTTTTATGTTAGTCTTGGGGAGCACTCCTCCGCAAAATGTAAAATGGAGTATGGTGTTCCCCAAGGCTCAATTTTAGGTCCAACCCTTTTTAACCTTTACATGCTGCCACTAGGACAAGGTCATCAAGGAGACATGGTGTTAACTTTCATAGCTACGCTGATGATACCCAGCTCTATATAGCCGTGTCTCCTGGTGACCTGACCCCGATCGACACCCTTTTTAACTGCATTTTAGATATTAAGTCCTGGATGGCAGCAAACTTCCTCCAGCTCAACCAAGGGCAAAACTGAGGTTTTAATTATTGGTCTGAAGCTCAGAGAGAGAGGCTCAAAGCTAAGCTCCAAACCTACTCACTGAACCCTGTGAGAGGTGAAAGTTTAGGAGTTATTCTTGACAGTGAGCTTTAGCTTTGAGCCACACATCAGGTCCATCACTAAATCTGGTTTTTATCATCTAAAAAATATTGCCAGAGTCAGACCTTTTCTTTCTCAAGCCAGTGCAGAGATTTTAATACATGCTTTTATTACAAATCGCGTTGATTATTGTAATGCTCTCCTTTCTGGTCTTCCAAAAGAAATCTACAGCTCCATTGCAGCTCCTCCAAACTCTGCAGCCCGGCTGCTGACGAGGACCAGGAAGAGAGAGCACATCACCCCAGTACTGAATCTCTGCACTGGCTTCCTGTGAGCTTCAGGATAGATTTTAAAGTTCTTTTATTGGTTTATAAAGCTCTTAATGGTCTTAGTCCTATTTATTTATCTGATCTGCTTTTATCATATGAGCCCTCTCAGACTCTCAGGTCCTCAGGTAGTCTCCTTTTAGCTGTCCAAGAGTTCAAACTAAAACTCACGGTGAGGCATCTTTTAGCTTTTACGGCCCCGTCTGTGGACAGTCTCCTGAGGATCTGGGTCCGCTGCGATGTTCATATTTTTAAAGTAAACTTAAAACATATCTTTTTTA